TGAAAAATGAGACAAAAAGACTAGTTTAGTAATCTTGTTGCTGATCAGCAAATTATGAGACATAAATGTTAGGAGAGAGAGATGAACCGTACAAAGAATCAGAACGATGGTTAGGTGACAAGAATAGGTATGGATTGTAGTGCTACAAGCTGTAACAGTGGCAGAAGGAGTGGGGAGCAAACCCATTTCAGCAGTTAATCTAGAAATTTGTGCTGGAAGAGTAGACATATTGTTGGCTCTCTGAGGACATCCATTGAGACTTTGTTAGCTTCAAAAGGACACTTTGTTCATAGCCAAAGATTTCTACTAGCATGGGTTAATCAAGTGCTAGTGGAAATCCATGTTTTATCAAAACATTTTAGAGTCATGAAAGAGCTCAGGTCAGAAGGGATCTCAAAAGATCATCTGGCCATTTTGTGGGAAAGCGAGCCTAGATAAGATTATCTAGTACCCTGTGCAGCCATGTTGTGAAAACCTCTAGTGATGAGGATTCTGCAATGTCCCTGGGAATTGTTCTCACTGAAAAAATAATTATATCAAGATGAAACCTCTCCCAGTCAATTTGTACTTGTTTCTTGTCCGCTCCATGTGGCTCTTTGTGAAAATAGAGCCTCCATCCTCTTCTAGGCACCCTTTCAGCCTATCTCATGAAAACTCTTTAAAACTTATATATTTGTATTTATAATATATGAAGCTGTTTTGCTGTTTTTCTGTTTCCTTCTTTCTTTGTGCAGGAGGGCGTATAGAGACAAGCTCAAATTCTGGACCCATTGTGTTCTAGTAACACTCATTGTATTTACAGTCATCTCATTTTTTGCTGAACAGGTAAAACTAATACCTTATCAAATCTGTAGCACTTAAATTGGTGTATCTTCAGGATAATATAATTTTTTAAATGGGTTTTGAAGAGTGTCTAGGATTTTACCTTCATAAAGGAAGCAACAATGTTACATGACTAATGATTAGGTTACTTTAAGTCGTCATATTGAAAATCCTTGAAAAGAGTCACGTGGGGGGAAGGAAAGCAGTATTCCCTTTTCAGATGCCTTGTGGCTGTCAGGACCATTATCAATGTGCCAAATTTGGATGCTCAGAATCAGTAATTGTTTTTTAACAAACATACTGGTAAAGGTTCAAAGCAAGTTAATGGGAAGGACATTTAAGTAACAGCTATACTCTAGTCCTGAAGAGAATCTTAAGGTATCTAGAGGCCTTATCTGAATTTTATCCCTAAGTAATTGCAAAGACTTTAGTTGAATTCAAAAGGTTATGAATCTGACCCAAAGGAAAAAAATGCTCCACTTCTGCAAGCATAAAATGGCTTTCTTGAACATGATTAATCCTGCTGAACTAAGAGGGACACAATGGAACAAATCGTATGGGTAATTCTTTGCAGGTTGGGGCCTTAAGTAACACTTTCCGTGGTCTGATGAAGAGGGTGTAAATCTTGAAAGGTTGGCTTTTAATTATTTTTTTCCCACCTGTAACTTTTGCATGAATCTTTCTCTTGATTTTTCAGCCTTTTCTATATATTAGAAAACTCATTCTCCATTAGTAACTAGGTTTTGGAAAGGGGTCCTCAACTTGGGAGTACAGCTAGGTGTATAAATAATGCTTAAGGTGCCAGCTTCATGTTTATCTTTTAGAAACTGAATATAGCCTGGTGTTAATATAAATAAATTATTTTTTAAATAATCAGAATATAGGCATACTGTTATTACTTACTTTCTGCTTGTATTCTGGTTATTGAGAAGTCCATTGGGCCCGCCTAATAGAGGAAGTTGAATAAATAACTTCCTGTGCAGTGTTGTCTTAATGACCATGGATGGTACAGATTTTGTAGATTTTAGGATGAAAGCCTGATCAACTGTGCATCTCTAGCCCAGCAGAAAAGTAATTACTATATTTTTTTGTTTTCTCTCATCAGCTAATTGCACTTAAAAGAAAGATATTTCCAAGGAGAAGGATCCAAAAGGAAGTTGGTCATGAACGAATCAAAGTATAGAAGAGCTTTATTTTGGAGATCAGTCTACCTCAAAATGTGATAAGCATTTAAGATCTCTCATAAGTGTCTTTTATGGTTTGACATTTAACTATGTTGAGATGAAGAAAAAAAATCATGCCTCTGCAGTTAGAATCACTGCAGTACTCTTCATGATATACAAGCTGCTGGAGCTGTTGACAATGCAAAACAATGAAAACAAGTAATTGCAGGAAACCTGTACTTAGGCAGTTTTAAACAGATCTTACTTTACAACTGGTAGTTCATGGCCATTTTATCCTTTTTTATAAAAAGGGTTACCTAAAGAAATGTAACTGCATTTATTGCAGTGGATGTTGCCAACTAGATGAAATGTTGGGAGGTAAAGTTGTTTGGGATCAGCTTAACAGGTCCTTGATCTTGCATTCCAAATCTTTTTGCAAGTTTCTGTCGATGCTGCTTTTTTTTAGCCCTAAGGGAAAATTGAAATTTATGTAACTCATTTAGATTTAGTATGCATTTATTAATGTTGACATTCATCCCCCTATTTGTAGTATTTAATTGGGAATTGGAAGAAATATATGCTAATAAAAATTTACACAGTAACAGAACAAGTAATGGTTATTTGAAAGATACTTTATATCTGGTGTATTATATTCCAAAGAATACTGTGGTGTTTTTTCTTGGCTTGATTACAAAGGGAGGGTTGTAATCAAATGAAAATGATCAAGGTATAGCATTTTACAAACATTGTAAATATAAAAGCAAAAGTGCCTCTCTATGAATGGGTAATGAATTGTTTTAATGTAGCAATGTATGGGAGCAGTGTTTCAGTTCACAAAACAATATTTGTACTGACATATCAAGCTTTGTTGTTTTTAATTTAATAGGGTTTGACCCTCTATTTTGCTGAGACATCAGAACAGTGCAGTTTTATGTGGGAAAGGATACTGAATCTTTTCAAGCAGAAATTTTTGGTGGTGTGTCTTCAGCTACTTGTTTTAGAAGCATTCAAACAAAAAAAGCATTATTTTTTGTAATCAGATGATGTACAAAATGTATGTGCATATGTATTGTAAGATACCTGGTTTGCTTTGAAATGAACTAAAATGTGATAAAAGTTTTGTCTGTTGTTTCTGCTTTAAAGTAAACCAAAAGTCACCTATTTTGATAAATTAGCTTATGAATCATTATATTAAAGGCTTTTTTCCCTTAAAAATCCTCCAACAGTAATAGTTTAATAATAATTTGAAGCACGAGGGAATTCTCAAAGTATAGTCAAAATTTTCAGCATTGTAAAAATGCAAGCACTTATAATTAGTAAGGTTATTTCTTGCTAGCAATACATATTATGCTGAAATGTAGAATATACGCAGTTTACAGTATTTCAGGAAAGCTAGCTCCACCCCAGCTAGACCCAGTGAAAATGTAAAACTTGATTAAGGAAATACAAAGGAGAAGTTCTCAGACGGTTGAGGCTAATGAGAATACTGAAAACTGAAACTGTGTTAGGGTTTTGTTTTATTTAGGTTGTGTAGTTTGTCTTAAGTTAAAATACTTTAACTGGCTGAGGACAGAAACTCCTGTGAGGACAGTAGAAAAAGCTGGAAAAAACAAAACCAACCCAAACAAACAAAAACTCCAACCAAAAAAAACCCAAACACCCACACCCCCCCCCCCCCACCAAAACAAATTAACAATTGAAATAATAAAACGTGTAGTTTGCGGAAATGATCTGCCTTGAGAAATAGTGCTGGTTTGCACTGACTTTAGGGAAAAGTTCTCCTGTTGCATCACCTCCTGGCCTTCATAGAATCATAGAATAGTTAGAACAACTTATTTTGCAGACTTTCTTTTTCTTTTAATAGAAGTTGAAGCCATTTCTATGACTAAAGAATGAAATCGGATAAAGGTAGGCTCGTTTAAGGCTGCACCTGCACGACGTCCCCGGCCAAGGCCGCAGATGTCGCTCGAGAGTGCGCCGGCTGGGGCTGTGGTGTTAGTGCGCAGGCACTCGCGCCCTGGTGTGCGCTCCGCAGGCTTTCCCGCCTTTTCCTCAGGGGAGGGTGGTGCTGAGGTGGCAGTACTCCCTGCCATTCCCGGCCGTCTCTGTCACCGGGAAGGGCGCGGGAGCTGAAGGGCAAGTTCTGTACGAGCCAGGGTGAGGGGTTTGGGTGCGGTGTGCTCTCTGCCTGGGGGAGGGTGTGAGGTGCCCTCTCTCCCTGCCGCTGGTGGGGTCTCCTCCTTGTGCGGAGGCAGCGGCTGTGATAGGTACTGTGCGAAGGTGAAAGTGGAGAAGGGGCCAATGCAGGGGATGGAACGTGTTTGGGTGGAGAGTAAGGATGGCTTCCCCCCTCAAAACCTGGTGTGGTGTGGTGCGGTGCAGGCTTGTGTCCCTTCCGGCTCTGAGGTAGGAACAGATGGGCCCCATGGTGAAAAGCCCCGCACAGGAAATGCACACAAATGTTGGTTTATTTTACATCCCTAGGCAGGGTGAAAAAGAGGAGGTGAGTTTCCCTGAAAAATAGTTGTTAAGTACACAACTGTGGATTGAAGATACTTGAGTTGGCTGAAGCAGGTAGCTAAACAGCGTAGGTGAAGGGTATGTGGGGTTGTGAGGCAGCGAGTTGTTTTAGTCTGTGGGGGGCTCAGGAGTTCTGCTTAGTATATTGATTCTCAGTACAAAGGAAACTATGTCAGATAAAATACATGAATGCACTTTAAAGTTGCACTTTGTTTAGCAGCAGAGAGACACACAGACATCATAAGTGCATAATTTGTTCTTCAGCAGAATCAAGTATGTGCCTACTAGCCCTGGTATTTATTCTTAACACCACTACTGATGGGTAATCCTTTGGATTACCTCGAAACTAAACCAGTTTGACAGCCTAAGTATCCTTACAGGTGGAAACTGTTTACAAGGGTGTCTATAACAGGTCAACATAAGCATGAAAACATAATTTATCTTCAAAATATTGTGGGGAAAGTTACCAAATACAACATACTGCTTTGGTAGGAAGAAAACCTTATGGCTCCATCAGGAAGAAAGCATGGAGGAAAAGCTAGTAAACCAGCACAGGAAGATCAAGCCATACCTGCCTATGACTTTCAGGAGGAAAGAAAAGAGCTGAGTGGATCGGAGGAAGATATTAGAGAAGGTGTTTATGTAATTTTTTAGTACTTTTTTTAAACTTGAAGTTCATAGTATTTCTGACTATGAATGAAGAGACTTCTGTGTTAGCGAGTGTTTGTGTAAGCATGGTTCATGTTTATTATGAACCTATTGCCAATTGACCTCCTAGTATATAGTTTTAATAGAATTTTGAAGAGAACAAAGTATACTAGATCTGTCTATTGCACTATTAATGTCTTAAAATTACAGGTGGAGTCTTTAAGAGTAGGATTTTAATGCCATATCCTTCTATCACCTGGCTGCCTAGAGCATTGTGAGGTGAGGACTGAACAGAAGAGCTCAGCTTCTGTGGAGTGCCAAGTTGGGTAGGGTAGTTGCAGTCTTAATGCTGGAAGAGTACTTCATGAGGAATCTGAGCTGAAGAAAGAGCATATAAAGCTGAGGGGGGAAAAAAGGAAATTCAACAGATTCTTGTTGAGTTTTGAGGAAGTTTCACATAAAAAAGTGGATTTTTCTTAAAAACTCAGTTCTCGCTCATCACAATAGGTTTTTGTAAAGTTTGATGTAACTGGTTTTGGATTTTTGTCTTTCAGCAGTTAATCTCTGTTTGTTTTTCATAATTTCTCCCCTTCTTCCTTCATTCAGACTAAATCTCTCCCAAGTCATTAACAGAAATCTGACAGCAAAGGATTTTGTTGTTTTTTTTTTGAAAGAAGATAAATACCTGTTTGTGATTTTAATTTTTTTAAATGTCAGACTACATAATCTCAATGCATATTTTACAGTAGCATGAAATTCTTACAGATAAGTCTTTTTCAATTTTTAGATTATTTTACCTTTCTGATGATTGTTACATTGTGAGTTGGGAATAATTGTGTAGTTGTGGTCAAAGAAACTGCAACTGGTTGGGATCAGCCCAGAGAAACTCAAGGCAGTGCCAGCTCAAATCTAGCCTTGCAGAATAATTCGCCACCGTGTCAAATCCAGATTTAAATTTTAGGAGCTGCATGTGTTATGGATGGCAACTGAGATCCATGAGACATATTCATGGAAGTGGCGTTACAGAAAAGTAACTACACCTTTAATTATTCAAATAACCTCAACAAAATATATTTTTGTAAATCTTTTAAAAATCTGTATGAAGGTGAAACACCAGTAATGGACAAGCATGGAAAGAAACGACCTTTGGTGACTACTCATGTGGTTCCAGATGATGTAGGGTAAGGATTATTAGGATTTTTTGTTTGTTTATTTTTTATTTCAAAATATGCAAGTCTTAAATAGATACTGATTCTGGTTATTCATTATATCCTTTGTGGTATTTGATTCAAAAATCAGGTTACAAATAACACAGAAGTTGTAGATTAAAAAGAAAAGGAATACTTTAAAATGAGTAATTTTGCATATTCTTTGTAGACACTTTTGGACATGCATAAAAAAATTATATGACAATTCTTAAAATTCTTGTTTCTTTCAGAAGATGATTTAAATTTTATCTGAGATTGCTGATAATTTCATTAATTTTCTCCCCCTGATCTTAGTTGTCAGAACATACTGACAGTACTTTAATCCAACTATTGCATGAAAAATACATTCTATTTACAGATAAATCTTATGCAGTATTTACAGGCAGTAATGTAAAAAAAGGTGTATGTTGAAATATTTTTTAGCAACGTTATAGCTGTTGAAGATCCTTTTTTTTTTCCTTTTTGAAGAGTAAAAAAGTGACATCCTGTGGAGAAGATGATATAAAACAAAGATAAACATTTTCTTTACCCACCATGTTTCTTTTCGGACTTGTCAGCTATTGTACCAGTGTCTTACACACCGGTGTCATAGAATCATCGAATCATCATCTTACAGATGTTGTAGAAACAACCCTGTTATTATTTGTCTTGGATTTTTCTTACTGTGCCAGTCATGATAACTATGATGGACTTGTTTTCATTTGATGTTCCAAATACTTTTCGTGTACAGAATGCTCAATTTTATTTACCATCCTCCTTTACTCAAGACACGTGATATGCCTAATACTGCCTTTTTACAGGGGAGTAGGTTAATATATTAATAATTATTTTTTTAAAATCAGATTGGTCTAAAAAAAGAGACCTCTCACAGGAGAAGGAGTTCCATTTTTCAGTAGCAGCTCTTTCACCGCTTACGAGTAATAGGCATGGGAATAAAATGAGTTTTAAGCATATATAGCGTGTCTTATTCTAAAGTCAGAAAATGGGCAAATAAAAATTTTAAACACTGTTTTGTAGGGGTGAAGTACAGAATATGCTGGAAAGATTTGGAGGTAAGTACATTTACATTCCAATAAATTAAAAGCCAGTTCATATTTAAGTTGCAGAACTGGCAGAAATTCCTTACCATGAGTTTCAAGATTTACATCAAATGACCAGTCTTCATAGCATTTTTCAGCATTTCTGGAAAAAAGCATTTTTTCAGGAAAAAAAATAAAGTTATATCTAAGTAGAGCAAAGAGAAAGACAATGTGGGAATAATAACATATAAAGTGAGATATACTAGTGTAGGTAATTACAAAGGAAAAAGTGCTTTTGATTATCAATTCCAATTTTAGAGTGACATTTAAGAGGTAGTGATTATATTGTAGAGAAAATGGACAATGTGAGTAAGAACTGTAATTCTTACTCATCTTTTTGTTAAAACAACATAGAAGGGACTGGGGATTGCAAGACATGAGTGGGAAATAAGGAACATGTGAATTTCAATATAAGCAGCAAAATAGAAGAAATAGTTTTAATTTTAGACAAGGATTTTTGGCAGTAGTTGTGATACAGAATGAGCTAGAGAGTAGTCTGTACTCTGTACCTTCAGAATAAAGAAAGAAGCAAAAGCTGAATCACAGCATGATAGGTTCTAATTGGTGGGGTCCCTGAGAGAAGTGGGACTTGAAGCAGATGCTTGAGGAGTTGGTGGGGCTGGGTAATGAGCAGTTGCAACTCCAAAGGGCAAGTGTTGGTTAGAGCGTACAGGGGGCTAAGGGAAGCAGCAGTTTCACCATCAGGTGGAGGAATGCCTAAACCCCAGCAGCACCCAGGTTCCATTAGCTTCTTTGCATCAGAACACACTTTGTTCTCTTTTCCAAAGTGTAACTCTTCAGCATTTTTGATAAAAGGCCCAATGTATTTAAGTAGGCTGAAGCTGTAAATATTCTTCCATTTTTAGCAGACATTAACAAGGCTCTCTTAGCTAAGAGGAAAAGATTAGAAATGTATACAAAAGCCTCACTAAAAACCAGTAACCAGAAGATTGAACATGTTTGGAAAACACAGCAGGAGCAAAGGTAACACCCTTGTTTTTCAGACCTGTGAAATCAAGTTCCCTTTTGTGTTACAGCATGGCTAGTTGGTGATCTTGCAATTAAATAGCAAACTGTATCTGCTACTTAAATGATCTGCTCAGGTCCTCTGTTTCTGCTGCCTCCAGTTGTGTTCACTTGGTTAAACTGACAGTAATTATAGACAATTACTGCATAGTGCTTTCTCCTTTGTATTGGTAAAATTAAGATTTGGAATTTTGAGAGCAAGGTGCCTTAAAGAGCTGGGTTTACTTCTGTTTTATCTTTATGGAAAATGGCCTTTGATGTTACTTTTGTCCTTTAAACAATCATAGAATCATAGAATAGTTTGGGTTGTAAAGGACCTTATAAAGATCATCTAGTTCCAACCCCCCTGCCATGCACAGGGACACCTCCCACTAAACCATGTTGCCAAAGACTCTGTTCAACCTGGCCTTGAACACCACCAGGGATGGATTATTCACAACTTCCTTGGGCAACCCATTCCAGTGGCTCACCACCCTCACAGCAAAGAACTTCTTCCTTGTATCTAATCTGAACTTCCCCTGGATAAGTTTGAACCCGTTACCCCTGTGCCTATCACTACAGTCCCTAATGAAAAGTCCCTCCCCAGCATCCTTATAGGCCCCTTTCAGATACTGGAAGGCTGCTATGAGGTATCCACACAGCCTTCATTTCTCAAGGCTGAACAGCCCCAACTTTCTCAGCCTGTCTTCATATGGGAGGTGCTCCAGTCCCCTGATCATCCTCGTGGCCCTCCTCTGGACTTGTTCCAATAGTTCCATGTCTTTTTTTATGTTGAGGGCACCAGAACTGTATGCAACACTCCAGGTGAGGTCTCACAAGAGCAGAGTGTAGAGGTGCAGGATCACCTCCTTCAACCTGCTGGTCAATAGTTGGGGTTTTTTTGATTTCCACTTCACTTGGAATTTTTTTATTTAAACTTGAAAACTGAGAAATGTTCAGTAAAACTTTTATACTATTTTGCTTAACAAAAATTTTCATTTTTGCATTGTAAATAATTTTCACTCTACATAACATTCCTCTTGCCTCTAAAGGTGTATTTAATTACTATAGCTGATACTAGAGGTGAAGCAAACTGAAAAATGAGACCATTAAAAACTGGAAGCCAGCAATACTTGTAACTGTCTTCGTGTTTTTACATATGTTTGAAACTTACATTGACAAAATGTAAGTTTATGTAGAGAAACTAGAGTAGAATGAGCTAAAGAATGAGCTAATCAATTCTTTCATTAGAAACCCACGTGTTAAACCCAAGGTCTGTAGTTAGGTTAGAAAAACGCAGTAAATACATATATACTTACTATATGTATATGTACATTTAATCCACATTCACTCTGTGTGTATGTGTATGTATGTGCGTTCAGTTTTTCAAAGCATACAGTATTCAGTTAGGGCCTGATGTCAAAATAGCCTGGGTTTTAATCTATGCCAGCTCCTGTTACTTTACCCTCTGTGTGTTGACCCTTAGCTTCCCTTGCAATTATTCGTATAATTTGTCATTCTTATGGGTTGTGTTTATAGGCAGAAGCTCAATCATGAATTCTCCCAGCAGTTCCTGGCTTTATTTCAGCAATGGGATGTAGATGTGCAGAAAGCAGAGGAGCAGGAAGAAAAACTAGTGGTGGGTTTCCAACATGACTTTCATGGTATTTTCTCAAGGAGGAAATGTTGTTCAGACACTCATGAAATGTAAAATCACTTTATGTAGTTTAAAAAGCCCCATATGATTGTTTGCCTCTTGATAAAAAAAATTCTTCCAAGTTTGGTGGCTCTTAAAGTAAACACAAGTTTTGGGATGTATTTGAAAGTGGAGTGCCATTTATGAACTCTAGTGCAAGTTTATAAATGGTGACTAGTGATGTCCTAGGCTAGGAGTAGATTGAGAAAAGCCAAGACTATTTATGGAGAAGAAAGTTGTATGCTGTTCCTGTGCTTCCATAGTCTTTGGGTTTGGGGAATACATGAGTAAAAGAGAACAGTTGTCTTCACATGCACTTCTTAAAAATATGCCTGTATATAGTAAATGTATGAGAATTTGATCATTGAAAGGGGATAGGAGCTATTATAATGGAATGTAATTGCAAATGTTGGGAGTACAAATACAGAAACATCATGCAAGTTTTGTTTTTCCCTAATCAACAAATTTCCCAGGGATACCCTCGAGAACTGTGCTGGGTAGCAATCCTTATAGTGTCTCACAGGGATAATTCAGGTTGGAAGGGACCTCAGGAGGTAACTCAGGGCTTAATCCAGTCTTCAGTCTTTCTTTCATTAATAAGAACAAAGATAACTCTTCAGGCAGAGATCTCTATTACATAACCCATATTTCCAGTGAAGACATAATTTCTGATTCTGATAAATGACGTTAGTGTTGCTGTCCAAGCGTTTTTGGCTAACTAATGCCATTAGTTTTTTCTTTCACTTCTGCTTCAGAATATGCTTCGTCAGCAACAAAAAGTTTTTCAACAGGCAAGAATAGTTCAAAGTCAGAGACTGAAAACCATTAAGCAGCTCTATGAGCAGTTCTTAAAGGTACAGTAAGTTTTTTTCTTACAAGGCAGTCAATCCTTATATCAATTAAAAAGCTGTATGAGTTCAGCCTTTATGACATACAGAGATTTTAAGGCTCATTTAAGGAAAATAATAGCCTTGCTTGAATATTCATGTTAGTATCTTTCCCTTATTTGCTATGAAAATAGCTTGTTCTCTCTATACATGCATAAACATTGCATCATAATTTCCTTAAATGTGTTGTACCAGGGGTCTGATTGGCTCACCTGTTTCAAATATCTAGGCATAACCCTCACACTTTCTAAACAGAATATGGTTTTGTACCAGTTGAAAGGTTATGTAGGTCAGTTAAATCATCAAGATTTTTTCTTAATTATTCCCTTAGATATTTTTGTATATATTTAAACCAGTGAAACTTGACAATCTAGTAAAAATACATCTTGGGCAGCAAGTCATTTGGCTTTTATTACTGCTGGCAGGTGCATCCCCCATCATGAGAAATAGAAACCAATTTTTTAATGTCATTAACCTTTTTAGCGATTGGTGCTTCAGTAAGAAAGCGACCCTTAAAGTCAATTGTAAGTCCCTTAAAATTGCCTATTTAGAACTCCATCTCTTTCTAAGCAACATTCATTAGAAAGGTTGTCCCTTTCTGTAAGCTTAGTATTCAAGGTAAGTGTTCACTAAAATGTTAACAGGAAGAATCTGATGGAATTAATGCTTTATGGTGAAAACTTGCCCAGCTGGATGGATTGCCCAAAACTTGCCCAACTTTCCTGTTGCTTTATGCATAATTATTGTATTTGCTGGGATTCCCTACCTTTGGTTGGTTTTGGATAGTGCTTAACAGAGATAATGTATTTCAAAGACATGATTCATACCAATCAACTGTGGTGTGATTTTTGTTTTGTTTGCATTTTTTTTAACAAAGTAACTAATATACTAGACAGCAAACAAAAAAAAAACCCAAACAAAAACATAACTACTAAAAAGTTTGACTTCTTTGCAAGAAAAAGTTTCCTTGTAACTTTACATTAAGAACCAAACACTTTGTTCCCAGAACTTCCTTCCACCCCTAGTTTCTCTAAGTAAGCTATTAGAAATCTAAACTGTAAAGAAAGCAAAAGTGACCTGAATTTGTTTTTGTAACAAATGCAGAGGCACAGCACCATAGAAACACTGAAGGGCCGAAGCTGGAAAAGACCTGGATGTCATCTGGTCCAGCCCACAGGTGGTTCAGCAAGGTTTCCTACAGTTGCTTGTTCAGGACTTATGTCCAGCTAGTTTTTGAGTTACCTCCAAGGATGGAGACTCCACAGCCTGTCTGGGCATCCTGTTCAGTGCTCAGTCACTCTCACAGTAAAAAAGTGTTTCCTGATGTTCAGTGGGAACTTCCTGTTTGTGCCCACTGCCTCTGGTGCTGTCACTGGGCACCTCAAGAGCCTGGCTCAATCTTTTTTGCACATCCTCCCTACCCCTTTAGGTACTTCTGTATATAGGTAAGATTTCCTCTGAACCTTGTCTTCTTCAGGCTGAACAGTTCCAGCTGTCTCAGTCTACTCTTGTAAGAGATATGCTCCTGTCCCTTAATCATCTCCATGGTCCTTTGTTGGGTTCTGGTCAGATCCCAGAACTGGACCCAGCACTCCAGATGTGGTCTCACCAGGGCTGAATGGAGTCAAAAGATCAGCCCTCTTTGCCTGCTGACAACACTCATCCTAATGCAGTCCAGGAGCTCTTTGGCTGCCTTTGCTGCAAGGGCACACTGCTGGCTTCACCTGTGTCCTCCAGGAGCCCTAGATTCTTTCCTGCCAAGCTGCTTTCTAGATGAGTGGACTCCAGTATATACCAGTACATGGGGCAGATTCAAGTCTGCCAGTTTCTGACAAACCTTAATTTCTGTTCAAGTAATTTCCTAACTGGTCCCTTTTTGAAACTGCAGTTATGATAAATAAGCTTGTTTTTTTTTTTTCAAGTCTGGTAGGTTATAACAATAAATCTGAAATAGAACAGCTCTTAGTTTAAGATAGTTGAAGTGTACAGAGGATATTACAGAAATATTAATAAATTATAACTCCCAAAACATCAAAAACATCTTCATCAAAGATTAAAAAGTGAACGGAAGGTCAAGTATTACTTTGATTCTTCTCTTCAAAGAAGATCAAAAGGTAGAAATCAAGCCTCAAATAAGCTTAACTAAATACAAGTCAACGAAAATGCAGCTACACACATACACAGAGTTAGGCATAATTGTACATACAGAGGGAAAGATAACCAGTGACCTTTACTTGGCTTATTTGGGCATGTCTGTAGAGATGGAAATTTAATGGGTTTTACAGTCCTTACTTCAAGTCTCCAAGGTTGTATTAATACCAAACCCCTATCATTCCTGACAGGTGTCTGCTTAATCTTTTCTTGTAGAACTCTTTACTGAAATACAGGATAACTAACTGAGACCTCACAGATGCTGAGTGGAGGCAACCATTTCCTTTACAGGGCCCATACTGTTTAAACAGGAACGCAGATGGGAATACAAAGTCATGTATGATTTGTCTGTCAAGTTATTGACAAAACTACTCAACTATCAGTGACCACTGCAGCTGTAAAAAATTGAACTGTAGTAGTCTGAGTAGTGGTTTATTTGTTTGAAATTAACCCTTTGACATTGAAGAGTTTTGAGTTAAGACTATCCTTAACTTCAGAGCATGGAAGAGCTGGAGAAGAGCAATGAAAATCTTCTAGCCGGTGTACAAAATGAACTCCGCAAAGAAATGACTATGTTGCAGAAGAAGATTATGATGGACACTGTAAGTACCAGATCTATGAAAAAGTTAGTTAAATGCAAAAATAGAACATTCTATAAAAAAGTAATTTGACATTCTTTTAATTGGCTCAAAAAAATATATTGATATGGCATTTGTTCAGTATTATCTCCTTTTCTTGTAACAGCAACAGCAGGAGATGGCAACTGTTCGCAAGTCTCTTCAGTCCATGTTATTCTGATGGCTCAATGGAGAAACAACTTATACCTAAGTAACATGATACAAGTATAGGCATTAGCCATAGAGAAATATGTTAAGATTTATATGCTTTAAAGTTTCTATTAACTGTTTTCCTGGATTGTTCTAATCTTGTCTCAGTAATGTTATAAATAAATATATTAGTAAATTTATGACGGGGGGGGAAACACAATATGAACCTCAAACTATTTACTGTCTGCCCAGTCTTTAACTGACGAATACTCACTTTCAATAGCACTGAAGAATTTCAGTTGTTTCACTTTTTATAATGACAAATTGTAACAGTGGGCAGAATTAATGAAAAATGCATTACCCAGGTTTTAAGCAATAACTTCAGGCCTTTAGATACATTGTACAAATAGAAGCATTTTTCACAAGCTGGAGACTTCAAGATTTTCACAGTTTCAAAATTTAGTCTGCTGACATATTAACAGTTATAAATGTTCACAGAGTATGATGTAGTTCATGTAAGATTGTTCAGTGATGTGTATTATGGTAAATTAAAGTAAATTTTGTTAACTCTTTTGTTAGCCTAGGCATTGTAATAACTTTGCACTAGTAAGGGATTTAGTAACTGCTGTAATTTGTCTCAAAAGCAGGTTTCTTCAGTTGAATTACAGCTGAGTATCACAGCTTTATATTACATCTGCTCAAGAAAGCATAATTGGGGTGCATATTGGGGTGTATAGTTCTTGTAGAACCACCACTAGAAGTAATTCAGCTCATTTAGTTAGGACTAGTTATTACAAGCCTTTGAGGTGGAATATTACTTCTTGCAGTTCCAAATGACTACCAAGTTAGAGAGGCCTATGTTTTAAGGGTAAAGCATTTATCTTTCAATGTAGCTCATTACAGTAGATCAGTATAAATTAAAGCTTAGCTTGCATGCAGTTTTGTGGGTTTTTTTACAGAAACCCATTATGCCCGAATATCCACCTTTACAAATTAGGAAGTTCCTAATATATTTAATGCTTAGACTTAATACAATAGTAGATAAAACAAAAACCATCCACACACCCACACGCACAAATGTGATGTTTTTGTAACAATGTATTTCAAAACCAGTCCATACAGATTCTTCTAGTATTTCTAGTTCAGAATCAAGCCATTTGATGATGGTTCTCCAATTCTGGGAGCCAGATTAGTGATGGCTAATTTACATACTAACTTCAGCTATTAGGTTGCAGCTGAAGTTGAACAAACAACCAGTATGAAGCTCTTTGTTCTGTGTCTGCTAGGACTCAGAGAAGGAGCAAACACAGAAGTTAAACTGCTTAGAAGGATGTATGAGGTAACATGGGCCTCTGGTAGGTAACAGGTAACTGCTGCTTTGTAACAGTGCTCCTGAGTCTCAGCCCTCCAAGGACAATTAGATGATGCTGTAAAATAGTTAAAACTTCCTGCTTCCTATCCTTGGTGCTAGGTTGGTTGTTAGTGTTGCCTCATGTTTCTGGTTTTATTTGTTCGTATTGCCTCATATTTCTGGTTTTCTGACCAATTTCTGTATTAGTTTCCTATTATCCACATACATCAATCATATCCTTAAAACTTACACCTACTACTGCATGACATTTTTGAGCATTCTGGGGACCCAAACCTTCTCACTCTAAAAAAAGTTACCTATATACAGTATTCAGAAAAACTGAACTGGTCTTTACCATCTTCTACTTCCCCATGGGCTGGGCTCAGGCTAAGTTCATGTACAGATGCTCTGTCTTTCACAGCCTCAAACAGGAGTAGTAGAATTCATCTGGGATTGATATTAGTCACTTGGAGTACTGGTCCTTTAGCATTAAGTGGTACAGTTATCCCTCAGGTCTATCAGCATATCCTTCTTAGGCAGTTTGGTAGACGGTATTCTATTCCCTCCAAATTTAGCAAACAGTATGCCACTTTTAAAGTTCCTTTAACACCTCAGGAAGTCTTTTCGAGTTAATGTGTAACTAGGAAGCTGCAGTGATATTTTTAAAACAAATCATAGCACTCTATTTTACAGTTCAGGAAGGACTTTATGAACTCGCAGCTCAGCTACATATCAGCAACTGAAAGTGGTAACAGACACATTCAACAGCTTTTTACAAATACCATATTCAAAATGTACCTTTTTAAAGGAATTTAAGCTTATAGGGTTTGCATGCAAGTCATGATTTGTTTTTGCAGGTGATAAGCTACTTTCACTCAGCTTTTCTCTAATGCCAACAGCAGCCCTTTAGCTAGGCACATTATGTTAGCCAGTGAGTCTGTTCTTAAGGAAAGAGAAAGGCTGATAGTGGGCCTGACTTCCTGTGTTGGAGATTTTTACTATACATTTTGGTTTAGCTCCGTGCAATTTTGTTTGGATAATGTATAGTGACAGCTACAGAACAGATTATAAGATAGATGAACACTGCCATAGCAAATATAATACTTCAGAGGGAGTTACATATGGATGTGCTGCATTGTCACAGTCAGTCACAGTCATTTATAAATGAACTTGGTCTTTCACCTGTATAGTTTCAGATGCATGTTAAGGTAGGTAAAGTAAGTGCCCCCAAAGTACACAACTACCAATAGTCTAGATAATGATGGAGTACAATGAGGCAAACCTTACTGGGACCACAAAACCAGAAACTGGCCTTGAAAGAAAACACAAGCTAAAATTGTATTTAGCCATGTAGGTTACATACTTAGATACTAGAGAATCCATGATCCTAAAGGCACTCATAACTTCATAGTACTTCATAGTATTTTGACACAGAATAAAATTTTCCTGAGCTATACCTCCTTTATCCTACTGATCCAGAAGCTTTTTCTTTAGAAATACTGGAACAGAGATTAATGAGTAGTTTTACCTCACAGATGCCTCATTTTACCAGTCTTAATAATGCAGTGCAGTATTCACTGATACGTGACTACCACTTCACAGCAGTTCCAAGAAGACTTTAAAAACTAACAATAGAAGATTAGGGAAAAGTTAAATTCCTCTTGGAATTCTTGTTGGTAGCACCTTGGTTTGCAGCCTGCATTCACCAGACCAGAAGTACCAAATTAAGGTTACCTAACAGGAAATGGCAAAAGTTTCAAATGCAGTATTCATGCCCTAAAACACAGGGGAAAAAATACATCCTGGTGCAAAAGTAACAATCACAGTAGAATCTGCAGGACTTTGTACTTCATAACTCTTAACACCTGATAATGTCTAGGATAGAGTGAGCTTTCTCATAAAACTGTTTTCATGAAAAGTTTAATCTCTTCCCCAAAAAAACAGAGGCTGCTTCATTCAGCATTCCCCTAACTGCTTCTTCTCTTGTTCTTGACCTATTTAATCAGTCATTATGGTTTTGAACCTGTTCAGGAGCTTGATGAGATGAAATTCGGAAGACATGTATATGAAGATGAGCAGCAATCTGTAGGCATACACCAGTGGCATATCTCAGCATATCAAACAAGGATATGAACTTCAAAAGAACAAAACAGAACAGGTTAAAAAAAATAAATCTAATTATTTCTTAAAATTGTCCCTACTATAAATTCATCTGTACCGTAATCAGAATCTATCCAAATGCCAAGTTTAACAGCATTTTAACATAAAGATACACGGTGGTTTAGTTTAGAAGAAAAAAATGAAGCCCCAAAAGCCCAGCACTAAACAAAGTGCTATCTGATAAACAAAGTTAAGTTTGCAGTTTGTAGAATGACTTTAAAGAAACCACCTGGACTAAAGCATAATTACAAAATATGTCTGTAGATTTACTTCCACATCTCTGTTCCAAGGAAGCCAGTCAGCTCCCAAGGTACATGTTTACATGGTACACTGCCACTCCTGCAGCAAAAGCTGAGATCTGAGCATGTCAGAAATGGCAGAGACAGTTCTCAATCCATTCCTTTCAGTAGGTGCCAAATGAAAAGTACAAACCAAAATGCTTACCAATGCTACCCACAGAACAATATATTCATCAATGAAACTATTGAAGTACTGATCCAAAACTAGAAGTCCTGGCCCAATATATGCAGTGTCCTGAAGAGAGATTTTACTTTTTGTCATGTAAGCCACCTATGTAAAATAAAAAGAGACACAAAAAGGCATCACTGCAAGATGAGTTTAACTACTAGCAAACTGGCATGATGCCCTTGCCCAGCAACAGCCTGCTATCCACTGTTCTTAAGAGGCAATCAGCAGGCACAACAAGGGCTTTACAAATGCTTCAGGGTCTGATGCTCCCTAATGGTTTCTTTCCCAAGGACTAAGCAGTCTCTTTCCAGGTTATTCAATCAATATCAAGCACTTTAATCAGTGATAACCACTGTCTGAATTATCAGTTGATATTTGCTGGCTTTATTATATAGGGACTTTATAGGCTCCAGAGCAACCTCAACAGGCTTGAGAGGTGGGCAGGTGCACACCTCATTAAGTTAAACAAAGCCAAGAGCAAGGTCCTGCACCTGGGTCAGGGCAATCCCAAGCACAACCACATGCTCAGCAGAGAACTGATTGAGAAGGACTTGGGGGTGTGGATTGGTGAGAAGCTCAACATGACTCAGCAGTGTATGCCTGCAGCCCAGAAACCAACCATATCCTGGTAAGGCACTGGCACAGGCTGCCCAGAGAAGTTGTGACTGCCCCATCCCTGGAAGGCCAGTTTGGATGGAGCTTTGAGCTCTACGATGATCTTTACAAATAAAAAACATGCAGTAAAGCCGATCTTTTTTTCATCCATTGATGAGGTTTTTAATTACAAAGGAGATAAACAGTTTATCTCTTCATTTTAATGATTAAGGTAAATTCCTGTTTCAGGTAACTAAACCAGAAGCCACAGCACTGTTAGTATGGCTTGAAGGACCAGCGTTACGATGTTAAAGACAGCGTATTTCTAGGAGTAGGTTGAAACTGAAAGCTGTAACCAGTACCCTCAATAAATATGTGTTTGCATCAATGTCATATATAATCTCTCTGTAGGAGCCTGAACCTAGTTCAGTGTCTTGGTCATAATGAAGCTGGTAATAATAGCATCAGAGCAGAATGGAAAAACTTGCACGGCACCCACTGATCCAGTAAACATTAAGCCAAGAACCAGTTTAGTTTTAGGAGGTTTAGGACTGAAGTGAGATTCCTTACCACCAGCTTCTGTGAGATTTTGGCATTCACTAACGCAAATGTCAAG